TTCTTTTTTGGGCTCACCTTATCATCGCACCACCTACTACTACCCTAAAGCTGACTGGGATTCCTTTCGTGATTTTCTTCGTAATGGTCCTTGGTCTGATGTTTTTTCTCTCTCAGCTGACAAATGCGCCTCCTACGTAACCTCCTGGATTCAGGCTGGAATGGAAGCTTTTATTCCTTTGCGTCGGTTTTAAGTCAAGCCTCATTCTACTCCATGGTTTTCTCCTTCTTGTGCGGCTGCTATATCCAATCGTAATCATTTTTTTCATCTTTTTCAAAAGAACAACTCTCTTGAGAACAAACGGCTATTTATTATTGCAAGAAATCGATGTAAAAAGGTGCTTTCTGATACTAAACTCCATTATTCTCAGTTCACTAAATCTCGCGTTTTATCGCAGAAGTAAGGCTCTAAAGACTTTTGGAAAATCTTCAACAGCATTGTTAACAAGGGTAGATCTAACATTCCATCTCTCATTCATGGGACTGATCTTATTACCTCTCCCAAGGATAAGGCAGAACTATTTGCAAAGAACTTTTCTTTTTATTCCACTCTTGAATCTTATGGACATTCTCTTCTTTCCATTCCAGTCAAACAGGTTGACCCATTGTTAGACATTCAAATCACACCGGCTTCTGTTGCTAAAGTCACATCTCAATTAAACTCTTCTACAGCCTGTGGTCCAGACAACATTCCTGTCACAGTCTTGCAGAATTGTTCTCCAGAACTTTCTTCAATTCTCTCTAAACTATTTAAGAAGTGTTTGACTGAGTCTTGTTTTCCTGCTTGTTGGAAAATGGCATCTGTGGTTCCAATATTCAAAAACTCTGGAGAAAATTCTGACCCCTCCAACTATCGTCCGATCAGTCTTCTTTCTGTTATTAGCAAGGTCTTTGAGTCTTTGATCAACAAATTCGTCGCATCTCATCTTGAGTCAAATAAACTACTGTCAGACAATCAATACGGTTTTCAATCCTCTCGCTCTACGGCCGACTTGCTAACTGCTGTAACTGAAAGATTTTATCGTGCATTAGATGGAGGCGGTGAAGCTAGGACTATTGCTCTTGACATATCTAAAGCTTTCGACAAAGTTTGGCATGCTGGTCTTCTCCATAACCTTGCTTCATATGGTGTTTCTAGGAAGGTTTTTGAGATTATCAAATCATTTCTTTCTAACCGGTTTATTAAAATCATCCTTGAAGGCCAACACTCTTCTTTATTTCCAGTAACTTCTGGGGTTCCCCAAGGTTCCATCCTGGGCCCTGTTTTGTTTCTTATCTACATAAACGATCTTCCTGACAACCTTTCATCTAAAGTAGCTCTTTTTGCTGATGACTCAACTTTATACTCCTGTCTTGACAAAAAGTCCTCTCTTTTCGATCGCCTAGAACAAGCAGCTGATCTTGAATCCGATATCACTTTAGTAATAGATTGGGGTTCACAGTGGCTTGTGAATTTCAACTCTAAAAAAACCCAGTTGCTTACTGCAAACAACTACCGTAATATGGTCAACATTCCTATATTAATGAATGGCAATCCTCTTACTGAGTCGTCCTCTTTACGTCTTCTTGGATTATCGCTTACTACTGACCTTTCATGGAAACCATATATACAATCGATTGCTAAATTAGCTTCTGCTAAGGTTGCTTCTCTTTATCGTGCTCGCTATTTCCTTACTTCTGATTCCATTCTCTACCTCTACAAATCTCTTATTCGTGCCTGTATGGAATACTGTTGTCATATTTGGGCTGGTTCTTCTAACGATTCACTTTCTCTTCTTGACAAGGTCCAAAAACGCATTGTAAATGTTGTTGGACCTGAACTATCTGCTAAGCTTGAACCTCTTTCCCATCGTCGTAAAGTTGCATCTCTTTCTCTTTTCTACAAATACTATCATGGTCACTGCTCAAAGGAGTTATCATATCTAGTTCCATCAACTAAAATTCATTCTCGTTTTACTCGTCATTCAGCTAAGTCTCATTCGTTTACTGTATCTGTTCCTGCATGTTCTAAAGACTTTTATTCATCTAGTTTTTTTCCCCGCACTTCAATCCTTTGGAACTATCTCCCATCTTCATGTTTTTCTGACTCATACAACCTTTAACTTTTCAAGTCTTCTGTCAACCGTTTCCTTCCTCTATAACTCTGTTCTTTTTTTTCCTAGTAATTCCTAACTTGATAGTGGTTGCTTGCAGCCTTGTTGGGAGTGAATGCAAATAAAATAAAAAAAAAAAATATATATATATATATATATATATATATATACATATATATATATATATATATATATATATATATATATATATATATATATATATATATATATATATATATATATATATATATATATATATATATCTATATATATATATATATATATATATATATATATATATATATATATATATATATATATATATATATATATATATATATATATATATATATATATATATATTTTATATATATATATATATATATATATATATATATATTAGGGTTGTTAACCGGAGGATTTCGTGCAATTCCGGAAAAACAACATTCTTTCGTAAGGAGATTGAGAACTAGGAATTACATTTTTTCGTACCGAATGTTACAAAACATTTAAAATCGCCGATGTTCATTTCGCAAAAGCCACTTCTGAAATTTAGCATTTCGCAAGTTGACATACGAAACAAAACTATTTTGCAACATACGAAAGTAGCGGTTTCGGAAGTCGCACTTGAGAAACAAACATTTTCGCCAAACGACGTTTTGAAGTCTATAAAGAAAATTTGTTTGCCAGACTGATTTTAATTGTAAAAATTAACATCTTTAAATCCCAAAATTTTTATAATGAATTTTTATTTTCAGTATAATAACATATTAAATTTTTATGGTTTTATTTTTAGAAATAATGATAAAAAATAAAATTTCTTTCGAAACGAAAGTATTTCGGATCACAACATACGAAAGAATTCTTAACGGAAATAAACTTACGAAACGTGTCATAATAAATATATATAACGATGTTTTTTGAATTCATTACGTATATTAAAAATAAGAATGATGGGTAGAAATATACATGTTTTTTTTTTTAAAGCATATGAAATTTTTGAAACAGGTTCGAATATGCTTAAGCAAATAGTAAAAAGAGGCTCAAAAATATGCTTTAGCTTAAGCATATTTCTGATAAAATAAACCTATTTCAATATTTTCTAAAAGTGTGCACGTTACTAAAGTTCTAGCAGATTTTAAAGGTATGTAGAGTCCTGTTTGAATACGCTTTTCGAAGTATAGATCTTAGAAAATATTGTTTTTCAATTTTAATAAGATATAAATTTAAGTATAAGATCTTATAGTTCAATCAGTTAGATACGTGATAATTTGCCGCAGAGATCCGGGTTCGCATCCCGCAGCCATTGTAACTTTTGTTCATCAAACTCTTTTTACTTAAGATAGCATTTTTTGACCTCCATGTTCTATATTACAGATCTTTCGTCACCTTCATAATAGTGACAACCTCTCTTCTGTTAGTTATTCTTTTAAGATCGAGTTCATTGTGCTTAATTCTACACGTTTCCCTTGCTTTAATAAGTTCTACTTAAATTATGATGAAATGTACGTAAAACAACTTTTTCAAATAATATAAATCATTTTGCTTTAAATCTTGTGCTTTTTGTACTAGATATCTGTCCTAAACACTTTGTAATAAATTCTAGCTAACTCTGAGTCTAATATAATCATTTCTGAATATAATTTCCCTGAGGCTCCTGCAGCCTATTGTGTTCCATTAAAAGTAACTAGTTTTCGAGTCCAGATATTAATTATAAGCAACTTAAGGTTCACATCACTATACATTTTCCTGATATATAGAATCCTATTTGCATACGTATCATTTTCTGTAAATTCTGTTTTATATAGTTTCTTAATTATATAATAAATAAATAATACTATTCACTTAGTTGAATGAACGTATAGCTCATTCAGTTAAGACATTTGGCCGCGGAGACCCAGGTTCACATCCCCCTGTTTCACATATATTTCTTCTCTTTTTAATCTTTCTGATATCATTTACCTTTAGAGAGATCTCTCGTTTTTTATAATAAAGTATTAAATTGTTTATCACACATCCTCTTTATACTTTTTAAAAAGAAAGGCATACTGTTTATCTGTTCATTGAGAGTCCAACTTAACGGGATTTTACTGTATATACATGTATATATATATATATATATATATATATATATATATATATATATATATATATATATATATATATATATATATTAGGTATATTTGTATAAACATTTGAAGAATCATTTGACAACATTTTTTTATAATTTTATTATTTATTATTTAAACTCTTAACAGTTAAAATCTTAAATATATCGTAACATAAAATCTTTTGCGTCTTTTTCGTAATTGCACATTCCGGAATGCATCTTCCGTAAGGAACTATTTCGTAAGTATTCTTACGAAATGATTTGTTTCGCAAGTTTTCTTTCGCAATGCTTTATTACGGAATTTTATTTATTTATATTTTCGTATTGCGCGTTACGGAATGTGCTTTTTTGCATGTGCAACTTCCGCAATAACAATTTTATTACGGTAGATAAAGATGCGAAATTTTCGCAAGTTTTGTTTTTCGGCTAACAACCCTAATATAAATATAAACGTAAAGTTTACGCACTGAACAAACGTGTTTCAAGAGCGAGAAAAAAATGGCAAAAATTACGATTGCACAAATGAAAGAATTTATAGATATATACAAAAATACTATACTAAAAATTTTTAATGACAAAATAGAACGACTTCAGGCAAAAATATTTAGTATACAAGAAGAGAATAAAACTTTAAAAACTGAAGTATGCAAACTAAAAACGTCGATGGAATTTTCAAACGAAAAGTATGAACGTGTGTTGACTGATGTTGACTGATACAAAAAAAAAACTTACCGACACCTAACAAACAAAATAAAAACATCAAAATATTTGAAAACGAAGATATTATCAAAAAAAAAAATGGCGGAGCTTGAGGATCGAAGTCGGCGAAATAACCTCAGAATAAATGGTATCGATGAAAGCGTAAATGAAACTTGGGAACAAAGTGAAAAAAAAGTTCAGGAGTTGTTGAAATCTAAACTTGGTTTTGAAATTAACTTTAGCTTTGAGAGAGCACATAGAGTTGGAATGAATCGATCTGATGAAAAAGGCAAAACTATTATCCTTATGTTTTTGAACTACAAAGACAAAAGCATGATACTGGAAAACTACGTAAAGATAAAATTATGGAATCAACACCTATACATAAACGAAGATTTTAGCGAGCGAACGATCGAAAAAAGGAAGAAACTTTTTATAGAAGCAAAAGAACTACGATCAAAGGGCAAGTTTACTAAAGTCATATATAATAAACTAATTTCACGAAATTTTTAAATTAAAGCAGAAATTCCTTTTTTAAATATTTTTATGCTAATAATACTTTTAAAATGGATTCAAACAATTTTGAATCAAAATTTTTTTAATTTTTCTCATACAAATAATTTTAAAACTGACGAAAAATTTGATTAAGATCTAAACAATTTTTTTAATACAGGTGCTCTACAAAGCAACCCTTTTTATTTTTATAACAATAAAATAAAAGAATTTCTGAAGCGGGATCGTATTAATGTTATTCATTTCAATATAAGAAGCTTAAAAAAAAACTTTGAAACATTTTGCAATAACTTGGAGTAAACTTTAAATATTTTTAACATAATATGTGTAACAGAAACGTGTTGCAGCTCTGGTGATGTTACATCAAACGCAAATCTCCACCTTTCAGGCTTTCATATGATCCCACTCGCGCGTAAAACAAATAAACGAGGCGGTGGTGTTCTTATTTACTTCACCACAAGCTTGCAATTTATTATCAGGCATGACATGAGTATTTCCGATGCCGATAAAGAGGCTTTAATGATTAAAATTACAACCAAAAATAATAAAAATATTCTTTTTAGTTGTTGTTATCGCCCACCTTCAGGCGTAGTTGAACAATTTAATAGTTTTTTAATTAGTGATATAACAAGAAAAGGTTTTCAAGCAAAGAAATTAAATTACATAATTGGTGATATGAATTTAGACTGTTTTAAATATTAATCAAATAAAAATATTAAAAAGTTTTATAATGACTTGTTTGAAAATGAAGCAGTTCCTTTAATAAATAGACCAACAAGGGTAACTGCAACATTTGCCTTGTTAATAGACAATATCATAACAACTGACACATCTAATAAACTACTAAAAACTGGAATAATTAAAAGTGATACCTCGGATCATTTTCTTATTTTTTTTATCTATAAATATTAATACAGAGTCGATATGACATGAAAAACTGGTCGTTATTAAACGCTTTATTAATGATAAAAATATTTTATCATTTAAGGAACAATTATCCTTAATAAACTGGAACTCAGTAAGTAATTTGTCAGAAGCAAATAATATGTATAATAAAGTTTTTTATGAAGTTTATGATGTAAACTTCCCAAAATGTGAAATTATTAAAAAATAAAGAAGTTTAAAATCACCATGGGTAACAAAAGATCCTAGAAAATCCTCAAAAATAAAACAAAAACTATATATTAAATACCTTAAAACAAAAACAATTGAAAACAAAACACTCTATAAAACCTTTACCAAACTATTTGAAAATCAAAAAAAAACCTTAAAAGAAATTATTACAGCAAATTATTTGATAAATACAAAAACGACGTTAAGCGAAAATGGCAACTTGTTAATAAAATCACTTGTATCAATAAAATGAAAATATGCTCTTTGCCAAAGGCAATTAAAATAAATACTGAAGTTTTTAATAACCCTAACATAATAGCAAACGAAATAAACAAGTTCTTTGTATCAGTCGGACCAAATTTAGCCAAAAATATCCCTACAATTAATAATTCAATCAATTCAAAAAAATATTTGATTTCCCCTAAAATATATTCTTTAAATAAATTTAAAGTATCTTTTGATGAATTTAAGATTGCTTTCAAAATGCTTAAGTCTAATAAAGCAATTGGTCCAGACGATGTAAACGGAAATATTGTTATTGGTTCATATGACATAATTAAAAATATTCTCTTTAAGGTCTTTGCATGCTCAATAAACCAAGCAGTATTTCCTGACCAACTCAAAATAGCTAGAGTTACCCCAATTTTCAAAGGAGGGGAACCTACTAACCTCAGTCATTATCGCCCAATATCAGTTCTCCCAGTTTTTTCAAAAATTCTAGGAAGAAGATTTTTAAGCACTTATCAGAAAAAAAAAAAATTATGTAATAACCAATACGGATTTTAAAAAAATAATTCTACAGAACATGCAATACTTCAACTAACAAGAAATATTGCCAATTTATTTTAAACACCGCAATACACATTAGGTATTTTCATAGATCTACCGAAAGCTTTCGATACTATAGATCATGAAATTCTTTATAACAATTTAAGAACATTATGGAATCACTGGAAATACCTTATTATTACTGAAGAACTATTTAACTAATTGTAAACAGTTTATTCAAATAGACTCATCATTATTGTCAAATTTATCAAATATAACTTGTGGAGTGCCACAAGGCTCAATACTAGGCCCATTACTATACCTAATATACATCAATGATCTCTACAAAGCCTCAAACTTAATGAAAATTATGTTTGCGGATGACACTAATCTTTTTTTAACCAGCAATGATCTAACAACATTATTTAGAAATATGAATACTGAGCTTATTAAAACTTCTGACTGGTTTAAATCAAACAAACTATCAATTATTATAGAAAAAAATAAATGGATGATTTTAACCCAACTTCAAAAAAATATATATTATACCAAGTATTACGTCAATTATTTTTGTTGACAATATTGAAATAAAGCGAACAAAAATTACAAAATTTTATTGATGAAAATATATTGATGAAAATTATTGATGAAAATATATTGATGAAAATATATATTGATGAAAATCTTAAATGGAAAAATCACGTTAACAATCTAAATAACAAAATTGCTAGAACTATAGGAATATTATATAAATCAAAAAGTTTTTTAAATAAACATACTTTAATTTAATTATATTATTCCTTTATTCACTGCCATATTAAATACGCTAATATTGCTGGGGTAGTGCGAACAAAAGTATACTAGAACCTTTTCATCATCAACAGAAACAAATTGCACGTCTTATAAACTTTAAAGACCGTTTTACTCATGCCAGGCCTCTCTTAATTGAAATGAATATTTTAAATATATATCAGCTAAACGTTTATAATATTTTGTGTTTTATGTATAAATGTAAAACTAACGATTTCCCTTTTTCCTTTCATAACCTATACTCAATAAAATAAAAAAACAAGTACAATCTACGAAATGATAATTTTATTGGACGACAATTTTCGCATACAAATTTAGGTAAATCTTGTGTTTTTTTCCGAGGAGCCTTTCTTTGGAATAAAATAGTTTTGAAATATTTTGACTTTTCTTATGAATGGACATATACCCCATATAAAAGTAAACTTAGGAAAATTATTTTGTCTATTGATAATATACTTTTATACTTTTAATAGGAAATTTATTTGTAAATTTATATTTTTATTTAAATTATATTTTTCTTCTAATATTGTTAAGCACAGTTTTTCTATTTATTTTAAAATATTCAACACGTAAATTTGTAACGAGTTTGCAGCGGTTCTCGACGACAAAACCTTAAGGTCTTCTACGAGTCTCCGCATTCTTTTTTTTTTTTATAGTTATAGTAAAAATCCTCACTTGTAATTGTTTATATTATTATATCTTAACTTCTAATTTTATAAATAATGAAGAAATGTAAAAAAAAAAAATTAAAAAACAAAAAAAAATACATATATATATATATATATATATATATGTATTTTTAAAAAACTAGGAGGGGGGGACGGAGGACAGAGCCTTTAGCCCTCTCTCCCCCTTCCCCCCCATCATTTCCTAAACAGTTTAAAAAAAACTTATATAATAGCAACAGCGGAATTATCATTTTCCAGTCTGCAACAACTCAATCACAATTAAACATCACCATGGATAAATAAATTCATAAAACTGTTTAAGATACTATCGCATACTAACTATTTTTTAAATGAATGTATGCTGGCAAAAGATAACTAATTAACACGTTAAAAAGACAATTAATCATGTTGCCTGTGATAGATAATTAGATGAATAGATAATTATTATCGCTATCAAAAGATAACTAATTAGCACGTGACAAAAGATAACTATCGCTGGCAAAAGATAACTAATTAACACGCTGGCAAAAGATAACTAGTTAACACGTGGCAAAAGATAATTAAATAACACGTTAAAAAGACAATTAATGTAATAAAAATGTTGGTGTTAGAAAATCGAATATATCACAGACTGCACTCATGCCAATAAGACGTGTATCTAATTGAGATATTACTGTGTCTAATAAATTATTATAATTAATAAAAAATCTCATTTTTAAATAATTTTTCTCGGTTTGGAAATGGGGGATCAGCTACTTTGTTTGACGTAAAATGCGGCAAACGCTTCTGATAAGTTTTTTGAAAAACTTTTAAAATGTTTTGTTTACAATAAAAAGTATCCGAGTAAATATACTTTTTTTTTAGATATGTTTATATTATGTAAATAAAATAGAGACTTTATTTTAATTTTATTGATTTTAATTTTTTAATATTAATCATAGTTTTTATTTTTTTACTGATTTCTAATTTTCTCTTGAAACATTTATATAATGAATATATTAAAAACGCCATTTTAAAGCGATTGACGCAAATTTCTTACATAGATTTCTGGTAAGAATACGAGGGCCCCCTGAGTATGAGAGCCCCGAGGCACGGCCCCACGTAGCCCCTTGGTAGCTACGCCACTGACGCCATTGTATATACCAGTAATAAAAGTAATTTTTCGGTAAACAGTGCTCAATACAAAGTAGAGCAAACATATATCTTATTAGAATAATAATTAACTTAATTACAATTAATTAACTTAATTACAATTACAAGTACAATTAACTTTGTAACATTTCTCGGAGTTTCACGCTTTATGTGATCATCAGACACTACAAACAACCATAACAACAACAAAAATTATATACAAAAATGCAATACAGTGTTAGCTTAGATGACGTTAAAGTTGCAGATAACAAATTTGTTTTCGTGGCGACATTCCGATTTTGATTCATTTCGTTAATTTAATAGTTTCAATGTCATCATTGGTAATGATATGATATTTTTCCGTTAAACAAAGGTTACATGACTTTCTTTCAGGTTTAAAAAGTTCCGCCCTTTCAATAATTTTCCACATAAGAATAGGATTTGAATATCCCTGTTTTTTCATTTCCCAGAAATATTTAGAAAGTTCTGTGGCACTAGCTTTACTTTCGTATTGAAAGGAGTTTTCATGTTTATATTACCGCAACATCCGGATCTAATAAATTATGAAAACAATCTACTTAAAATGATACAAAATATTTCTTTTACTAATTCCTACAAATTATGATATTCCACCACAACATCCGGATTTATTAAAATTCGAAAACGATCTACTTAAAATGATATAAAATATTTCTTTAACACTTTTCAACATTTTCTTTAACACTTTTAACATTCCTACAACTAGTTTCAAAAAGAAATAAATAATGACATTTTCAAAATTAAATCATCAAAAAAAATGTTTCTTTTTGCGGATAAACCACATAATATTTATGAGCTTGAAAAATCCTCTTACAATGAACTTTTCATTAAAAGCGTAACCAGAACTTGATAATACGCAATATAGTTTTAATATTCGTGTTTGGCATAATACACACGTGCCTCGTATTATTATTATTATAAATATGGCGGTTTGCACGCTTTATGTTGTATTTAATTTTTAATCTAACCTTATCCTCAGAATACTTCATGGTACCAGAAGTAAACACGTGTTTCAAATAAAATGGAACAACTTAGACCATTAGAAGCAGTGGCGGATTAAGACTTCTTGGCCCGGGGTTTTTTTTGTTTTTGGAAAAAAAAAGTCCTCTAAAATTTTTGAAGGCCCCTAAATTTGCGGAGTACGGGGCTAAAGCCCTCCCCCCTTGTTCCTGGACTGATTAGTGGCCATGAATTTAAATGGCAATGTTTTAGAAAACTGGCGAAAAAGGAAGCAGATATGGAACCTTTATAAAATATCTTCAGGAGTCAATGACAAGAATAAAGATATTCAATGTGCCATTTTCCTTCATATGATTGGCTGTGATGCTTTAAAAGTATATGATACATTCGTTTTCACATTCGAAGAAAACGATAAATTAACACCTTTAGTTCAAAAGTTTGAATGTTATTTCAGCCCGAAAAAAAAAACATAACTTATGAAGGTTATTTATTCAATACATGTATGCAAGACAGCAGACTATTTACTGGCTTCTTGATTGATTTATGAAGTAAAGCTAAAACGTGGGAGTTTAGAACCCTCGAAAAAAGCCTAATAGGTGACAGAGTAGTCTGTCGACTCTAAAGCTGCCAGAGAACGACTACTTAGAGACGTTGAGCTTACTCTAGAAAAAACAACCAATTTTATGAGAGCATATGTAACATCAAAAACACAATTAAAAGTCTTTGAAAATACAATCCAGGCAGATTCTATAAACAAACATGGAAACAGAGCTAAATTCAACTCCCTAAAGAAATCTTGCTTTTACTGTGGATAACAACATACTACCTTGTTTTGCCCAGCATATGCCCTAAAGTGCAAAGCATGTGGAAAACTAAACCGTTTTGCTAAAGTATGCAGATCCAAAACTAATTGCTTTAATACTAATCGCGTAGACCAAGTTGATCAAAAGGAAGTCAACCTCAACGTTGCAGAGTTATATATTCATCATGTTGCACCATCAATGGAATGTACTAACGACTTAACAATAAATATTACAGTCAACAACAAAAATAAAGCATTTAAATTAGATACTGGAGCTTAATGTAACGTCATTCCATACAACGTATGCAACTCTATTCCTGGAAGACCTACTCTCCAAAAAACAATAACTCAACTAAAATCATATGGTGGAAACAATATTCCTGTACTAGGAATTGGCAACCTATCACTTACTGACGTAAAACCACTTCTTGGTCTAAGTTCCAGCAAATCTCTTGATATACTAAACATTAACGATGTTGAAATTGATAAAGCTAACATTTTAAAACACTATGGTGACGTTTTTTTCGGCCTTTGTTTAGTTAAAGGAAACTATCATAACGCACTTGCTAAAAATACAATCCCAGTCATTCATACACCAAGGAAAGTACTAATGTTTGTCCTATCTAAACTTAAAAGCACACTTCACCGTCTTGTAAAAGCCACAGTTATATCGAAAATTTCTAAACCATCAACTTGGGCACACTCAATGGTCATTATAGAGAAAAAAGATGGATCCTTAAGATTATGCATTGAATTGAAAGAACTAAACAATTCTGTTTTAAGACAATACAAAACCACTCCATCTACAGAAGAAATCTCTAGCAAACTTTACGGCAATAAAGTTTTCACTGTCATAGATATGGCTAATTGCTATTGGCATATAAAACTAGATGAATCTTTCTCAGAGCTACGCACATTTATCACTCCTTATGGCTGATGCAAATTCAACCGAATGCCGTTCGGCATATCATGCGCATCGGATGCTGCACAGGAGATGATTGAGCTTAATTTCGGTAATATCCCTAATGTTCTGGTTATCCCGGATTACTTGATTATTGCCGCTAAAACAGATGCATAATTTTGAAATATAATAAAATAGCTTCACTTATCACGCCATTGCACCGAAAAGACGAAAGCTAGAGCTCGAAACGCTGTTTACTGACCAGGACTTACAAACAACATTAATAAACTAATACTCAATTGCCATAAATGCCTTAAATACCGTAATAACTACAAAAAGGAAAAAATCATTCAACACAACATTCCTGACTTACCGTGGAGTAAAGTAAGATCAGACATATAGGAAATGCATGGAAAAATCTATGTAATTGTTATAGACTACTTTTCTGAATTTATAGTAAACAGTATCATTCCTGAAAAAACGGGGTTTTCTGTAACCAAATTTATGAAAACCATTTTTACTCGTCACGGAATACCTTCAAGTCTCATCGCCGATAATAGCCCCTACAACAGTGTGTAGTTCCTTAACTTCTCAAAAGAATATGGGTCTAACTTCACTCCATCAAGTCTAAACTACCCCCAATAAAATGGCGTGAAAATTATGAAAATAATAAAAAAGTGCGACAACCCTGAATTTGGTCTTCTAGAAAACCTCAACATGCCTCTCACTGGTATGGACTACTTTCCATGAACAGATCACCAAGTACAGAAGTCATCAAAAACAATACTATGATCGCATTTGAATTCCTGAATCTCGTAGCAAACGACACTGCCCGGATGAGAAAAGATGGAACATGGAAGAAAGTGAAAGTTAAAGCATGCTTTAAGAGTCATTTTTTGTAAGAATCAGGCAGTCAATGGAAGTGACCTCCTCCAAATTGCTTGAATTTTTGTATATATTGATCAGAATATAGAAAAAACCTGTTATGGAAAAAAAAAATTTTCAAGAATGTTTCGTTCACTCGGAATCTGGGCTTAAATTTTTGAAATTTTTATAAAAATTTTTAGAAATTTAGTTTTTGCCACCTTTGAATCCATTTTTTTGGCAAGGCAAAAAGTTGCACATAGCTTTTGTAGTTAATATCAGACGTAACCCAAAAGCTCTCTCCAAAAAATATAAAAAAGTTGCGTGACACTGTGCGGTTGGCTAATTATCATAGTTCAAAAGTACAAAATCAATCAGTTTTGTCAATTTTTAATCGGAGTTAATTCTAGCGGCGAAATGTTGCACACAATTTTTCTTTTAGGATTTGAAATTATCAAAGGTATTGAGTCTAAAAATGCAAAGAAAGTTATGTGATACCTAAGGCCTATTAATATATTAAGGCTTGAAATTGGAAAAAAATGTTATAGTATACTTACAAAATGAGCTATTACGGCAGAGGCGCTAAGTTTTGTAAAAATATAATCATGTTAAATGGTCAATATAAGATGACCCTAACATAGTTTAAAAAAAAACTCATGTGATCTTTAGATATTAAGTTAAAAATAAAGGTACAAATTGTTAAAAATGATTAAGTACGAAGAGATATTTTTTTGGACACACAGATGAGGTTTTCGCTCACAATAAAATTTCTATCATCAAAAATTAGCAATTAGCATTACACAAAACATTGCACGTAATGTTAAGAAAAAATTTAAGCGTTTCTGACTATGATATAAAAATCATAACAATTGAAATAAATAATAATAAAAAACAATACATGATCAGAAGTGAGTTATTTAAATTTACGTCATAACCAAAAAACTTGTGGTGATCGAATGGAAGAAGAATCGCTGATATCACGATTGTGGAGAAACAAGTTAGTGGGCGGTTGTTTACTTTACCATAAAAATGTCTTAACTTTATTTTAACGATCTTTAAAATTTGCATAAATAGAGTAGATATTTTATCAGTGCTATTGAGAAATAGGTACTGCATAAATAGAACTTGTTTTTAGTTGAGTATGGAACAAAACAAATATTTTTATGAAACTGTTGTTGCTTTTCAAAAGGAAATTGTGGATCATTCAAAAAACATAAAATTATTAACAAAATGTTCTACATTTATCAGCTGGGAGATGTTGATGTTAAGAAACACCTCATCAACTTAAAGGTAATTATGTATTTTAAATTTACGCAGACTGTAATATAATTTTTATAATTACATACTTTATAACTTCTCTGCAATAAGATTTTGAGACAAAGTTCTTTAAACAAAAAAAAAAATAGCTCTTTTAATTAATTCCTCACTCTTTTAATAAATAATCACTAAATTAAATCACACTCTTGCAATATTGTATTTTAATAATAACAACAATGTATTTCAAACTTGTAAACATTTTTCGTGAAGAGTCAGATTATAAACAATGCTTTAAATGACACACTTAATAATTGTTTAAAAAATTGTTTTAGGTCATGCGATTAAACGATAATAATATTTGGGAACAAAATGGACTTATTGCAAATAGACTTAAAAGAAATCTTGAAAAGGATGAACAAATATGTGCTTTTCACCGGTACACGTTTGGTATTGCATGGAGTCCTCCAAAAACATGCTTTCATCCTCACCTCCTAAATATAAAAGGAAAAAAATCTCCCGCTTTATGGGCGTCACCATTACATGTCGTCATATCAATGTCAAAGCGATACAATGAAGTATTTTCAGTTGGTGCAATGTTGTGTTTTACCCATTTAAAGCAAGAAACTGCTTTATCTAGAGTCAACGAAAACACCAATTTATGTACAGAAACACAAACACAACAAGAACAAACATATATGACACCTGCTACTCCAGATGAAGAATTTGATCCCGGTGAAATTAATGTTTCACAGGAGATTTTGGACGAATCTCTTAGAAGAATCTACAAAAATTGGCACAAAGATTTAGTTCTAAATCTCTCGAAGCTGCCCTTGAAAAAGGAAAAAGGTATTTGAAAACAAGTTATCAACCAATTCTAGTGTCAATGACTCAAACATTTCTTCTCATAGCTCAAAACATGCTTATCAGATCCATCTGAAAAAAATCTTCAATCCAACACAGAGATATCAGAAGTGGTATGCGCCGATTGCTATGATTTGTGCAAAGCTATCGAGATGATCAAAGAACTAACAATTCAAAATTCTGACGATGCTGATTCTATTTATGATTTGGAAATTGCTGTAAAGGATGTATTCAACTACATAAAACACCTGATGAGAGATTCTCAACAGAAAAAGGCAAAAATCGAATCTTTTAAGCAATTAAACGATGAAACTGCTTTCTGGCTTAAAGATTTTTGTCAAAAAATTGGCACAAAGATTTAGTTCTAAATCTCTCGAAGCTGCCCTTGAAAAAGGAAAAAGGTATTTGAAAACAAGTTATCAACCAATTCTAGTGTCAATGACTCAAACATTTCTTCTCATAGCTCAAAACATGCTTATCAGATCCATCTGAAAAAAATCTTCAATCCAACACAGAGATATCAGAAGTGGTATGCGCCGATTGCTATGATTTGTGCAAAGCTATCGAGATGATCAAAAAACTAACAATTCAAAATTCTGACGATGCTGATTCTATTTATGATTTGGAAATTGCTGTAAAGGATGTATTCAACTACATAAAACACCTGATGAGAGATTCTCAACAGAAAAAGGCAAAAATCGAATCTTTTAAGCAATTAAACGATGAAACTGCTTTCTGGCTTAAAGATTTTTGTCAAAAAATTGGCACAAAGATTTAGTTCTAAATCTCTCGAAGCTGCCCTTGAAAAAGGAAAAAGGTATTTGAAAACAAGTTATCAACCAATTCTAGTGTCAATGACTCAAACATTTCTTCTCATAGCTCAAAACATGCTTATCAGATCCATCTGAAAAAAATCTTCAATCCAACACAGAGATATCAGAAGTGGTATGCGCCGATTGCTATGATTTGTGCAAAGCTATCGAGATGATCAAAAAACTAACAATTCAAAATTCTGACGATGCTGATTCTATTTATGATTTGGAAATTGCTGTAAAGGATGTATTCAACTACATAAAACACCTGATGAGAGATTCTCAACAGAAAAAGGCAAAAATCGAATCTTTTAAGCAATTAAACGATGAAACTGCTTTCTGGCTTAAAGATTTTTGTCAAAAAATTCTTCCGGTTCGATACAGAGAGGGCCAAAGAGAGTATTTTGGCAAGAAAGGAATGAGTTTACATTTGGATATATTCTTCATAAAAATAGCAGGAAAGTTATTCAAGCGTGTTTACTTTACTTCAATGTATAGGTGTGATCAGGGAATAGGTGATGTTGTTTCGTTAGCCACTGCAGTTTTAGACCAATTCAGAATTGATCAACCGCATATCAAGAAAATGTTTACCAAATCTGATAATGCCGGCTGCTATCAGGGAAATCTTTCAGCTGAAGCAATCTACAATGTATACAAAGAGAGAGATATGAAGTTGCTGAGATATGATTATAATGAACCCTGTTGTGGGAAAGATCAATGTGACAGGGAGAGTGCAGTTGTAAAGACAATTTTAAGGAGTTACGTTAACTCTGGTAATAATCTTTTGACTGCTGAAGATATACACAAGGCTATGCATTATAGTTTTGGCGCTAAAGATGCAAAAGTAGCAGTTGCTCAAATTAGCAATGATAAAACTGTAGTTACTGGACCAACGATTAAGAACATTAGCAACTATCACTCATTTGAGTTTGATGAGAAAAGTATGAAGATGTGGCGTTATTTCAATATCGGTGAGGGAATTGAACAAGAGTATGGAAATCTTAAAATTCAACCCTCGATTAAGTTGTTGTTGCCATGTATCAAAACAGATAATTCAATTAAGCGTAACACTTAAGTCACACGTAACACGTAAGTCACTTAAGGAAAAACAGAAAAGAAGTGACAGGCAATTATAATCATTAAGATTTTGCACTGAAATGAATTGTACTTTATCATTTGAAAGCGATGCTGAGTTAGAAGAACACATGCTATCCGGTCTTCATACAGTTCCAAAATCATTAACATCATTGGATAAAGTTTGCAACTCGTTTGTTCATAAGATGAAAATTACTTCACAACTAAATATGCCAAAAAGACAAATCACATTGCATGAACATTTTTCTATTGCAAGGTTGGGCATTACCAGTTTGAAGTTCTTTTAGATTTTCAAATCAGCAGAAAAAACTGTTGTATAAATACTTTATTCGTAGAGAAGAATCAGGTAATAAAATGAGCCCTGAGCAGGTTCACATGCAGCTGAGGAGAGAACTTCTGCCTGATCAATATGTAACTAGCCAACAGATAAGATCTTTATTTTCAAGGTAGACATTGTTGCTATCAAAACTTTTGCAAATTAGATTATGTTTCTGACTGTTAAATAGTTCTTTTACAAATATGAAATTAAAATTTAGGTGAAAGTTATAATTTTGTGTGTTTGTTTACATATGTTTAAAAATATGTACAAGTGATATTGTTATAGATTTAGTACCCTGAAAAGAAAAGGTAAGCTGGTAGAACCGACAACAGAAAATAATGAAAATAGTCAGGTTAACGATAACAAAGAAGTTTATGGCGAAAATGATGACTTTAATCTGACAGGAGACAATGAAGATGATAATAAATATGAGGAAGACATCGCCAATCTTGCAAAAGAAATTTGTCTTGTATGGAAAGTGAATGATTGGGTTGCTGTTGCATATGAAAAACAATGGAATATTGGATATATTGTGGAGGTAATATTATTCAAAGTATATATTAGTTTCAATTTTTTATTTTGTTTTACAAAACAGTGCTCTAAAATAAAAGGAATATAAATAAAATGTAAAAATAATTTCAGAATGACATTATATAAGACTTTACAAGTTTTATTGAATGAAAGCAAAATTAAACAAATCATAAACTCTTTATTATATTATTTTAAATGTTGCACTAACACTTTTAGGTATCTATAACTGGGATCAGAGTTAATTGTATGATTAACGGGCAAGAGAAGAATACTTTTCGCTGGCCAGTTACTACCGAGGAGATAAATAACCGAACTGATAAAATTATCTGTTTAGTAAATGCTCCTTTTCTAATCAGTGGTTGTGGCGATTATTCATTATCTGAAGAAGACTATAATACAGTCATATCATTATTCTTAGAGAAACTTACTGCAGCAGAGTAGAAATTATGTGTGATGTGGTGGATAATGTGTGTAAATGACTCTATTAATAAATGAAAAACTAATTTTTAAATGGAAAAACATTTAAATGTTTGA